AACTAATGAGCGCAATTTGATTAAAATATTTTCAAAATAGTGACAGTTTCGGTTGTACTGGAACTATATGCTATGCTTGCAGCAGATAGTGAAATGGCTGGATAACATATACCGGATATCCAGGTCGTTACTTGTCGCGGATAGCCGACTTGATTGAAAAGGGTCGTAGGTTGCAATTCTCTGGAAGTGAAGAATTTTCCAGCTGTGGAGAAGTGACGTCCCAGCCTAGCAAGAAACTTTTTTGGAATTGTTTCAACTAGATGACGGAAGCATACACCTAGGACCATGAAGGTTTATAAGAAAATGCTATTGCTAGAGAACATACAGGGTGACTTTGAAGTTGAGTCATTAATTTTCAGATAATGATTGTAGAAGGAAGATAAACCAAAATATGTGTGTAAAAATAAAAAAAAAATAAAAAAAAAAAATGTTACCTTGTTTTATAAAGTATCCTCCCGACAAGTATTTCAGTGCGGACCTGTGCGCCCAAAAGCATGTCACAAAAACTGTTCGAAATGATTTCCGTTTTGCTCGACGCACAGCTGGGCGCGTCTTAGCCATGTCTCTTTACAAGCACGCAATAAAATCACTGGTTGATTTCTGATCACTGTACTCATTTCCTCAATTCGAGCACGTAATTCTTCGCGTGTATTAACCGGTGTTTTATACACTAGAGTTTTTAGCCAACCCCACAAACAAAAGTCTAAAGGATTTAAGTCCGGAGACCTTGGCGGCCAAGGTACAAAACCGCCACGGCCGATCCAACGATTATTAAATTGTCTATTTAAAAATTCACGCACATTTCTTGCATAATGGGGTGGTGCCCCATCTTGTAAAAACCACATGTTTTGTCTAATATTTAAAGGCACATCTTCCAGTAAACCAGGCAAATTGTGTTGCAAGAAATCAAAATAATTTTCACCAGTTAAGCGATTTGGTAATTCAAAAGGCCCCACTAAAATTCCATTAACAATTCCCGCCCACAGGTTGATTGGTTCAAGTCGCTGTTGACAATTGGTTTCCCTTATTTCATGGGGATTTTCAATAGCCCAAACGTGAGACTTACGTGAATTAATAATTCCGTTTCTAGTAAAGAGGGCTTCATCACTCACTAAAATTTGATTTAAAAAATTGTCATCATTTTGATGTTTATTTAAAAGCCAATTGCAAAAGTCAACCCTTTGTTCATGATCTTCCGGTTGTAAGGCCTGCACTTTTTGTATGTGAAACGGATAGAACTGATTTTCACGTAGAGTTTTCCAAGTTTTATACTGACTAATCGCCAATTGAGTTGAAATTTGTCGGGTGCTTACTGTTGGATCATCACTTACTAATTCTAAAATTTGTTCTTCTAGTTCTATTTGATCGTGTGGTCTTGGAGCACCGGCATGATCTCCTCTGTGAGGTCTTAAGTCACCTGATTCACGAGCTCTTTGCACTACATTAGCAAAGGCACGAGGGGTTGGTTGCACTCGATTGGGAAACCGATCCGCATAGATCCGTGATGCCGCGGCAGCATTTTGTAAAGAACCATGTCCACAAGTTCAGCATTTTCGTAAACATGTGCCATTTTTGATTTGAGCCTCGCAACAGACACGATTATTCACTTACGCGTTACCGACTACCGACTGATACTGACTGTATACAACTGAAGAAAATAATTGTAAAAAGATCGTTCCAAATTCTTTCGCTTTTTTGTTTCCGATGCGATGATCGGATAAGGCGGATTATATCTGTTGTTGCCAAACACGAGAACATAATATCATTATTGAGACAGGGCGGTACTCAAACTTCCAAAGGGCTATAACTTTGTTACTTTAATTTTACCAGAAAAATGGTAAAGGAAAAAAACATTTCTTTTGATCAGATCTACTCACTGTTAAAATAAATGACTCAACTTCGAAGTCACCCTGTATACAGGAAGTTTGAGTACCGCCCTGTCTCAATAATGATATTATGTTCTCGCGTTTGGCAACAACAGATATAATCCGCCTTATCCGTTCATCGCATCGGAAACAAAAAAGCGAAATAATTTGGAACGATCTTTTTACAATTATTTTCTTCAGTTGTATACAGTCAGTATCAGTCGGTAGTCGGTAACGCGTAAGTGAATAATCGTGTCTGTTGCGAGGCTCAAATCAAACATGGCACATGTTTACGAAAATGCTGAACTTGTGGACATGGTTCTTATTTCTTTACAAAATGCTGCCGCGGCATCACGGATCTATGCGGATCGGTTTCCCAATCGAGTGCAACCAACCCCTCGTGCCTTTGTTAATGTAGTGCAAAGAGCTCGTGAATCAGGTGACTTAAGACCTCACAGAGGAGATCATGCCGGTGCTCCAAGACCACACGATCAAATAGAACTAGAAGAACAAATTTTAGAATTAGTAAGTGATGATCCAACAGTAAGCACCCGACAAATTTCAACTCAATTGGCGATTAGTCAGTATAAAACTTGGAAAACTCTACGTGAAAATCAGTTCTATCCGTTTCACATACAAAAAGTGCAGGCCTTACAACCGGAAGATCATGAACAAAGGGTTGACTTTTGCAATTGGCTTTTAAATAAACATCAAAATGATGACAATTTTTTAAATCAAATTTTAGTGAGTGATGAAGCCCTCTTTACTAGAAACGGAATTATTAATTCACGTAATTCTCACGTTTGGGCTATTGAAAATCCCCATGAAATAAGGGAAACCAATTTTCAACAGCGATTTGAACCAATCAACCTGTGGGCGGGAATTGTTAATGGAATTTTAGTGGGGCCTTTTGAATTACCAAATCGCTTAACTGGTGAAAATTATTTTGATTTCTTGCAACACAATTTGCCTGGTTTACTGGAAGATGTGCCTTTAAATATTAGACAAAACATGTGGTTTTTACAAGATGGGGCACCACCCCATTATGCAAGAAATGTGCGTGAATTTTTAAATAGACAATTTAATAATCGTTGGATCGGCCGTGGCGGTTTTGTACCTTGGCCGCCAAGGTCTCCGGACTTAAATCCTTTAGACTTTTGTTTGTGGGGTTGGCTAAAAACTCTAGTGTATAAAACACCGGTTAATACACGCGAAGAATTACGTGCTCGAATTGAGGAAATGAGTACAGTGATCAGAAATCAACCAGTGATTTTATTGCGTGCTTGTAAAGAGACATGGCTAAGACGCGCCCAGCTGTGCGTCGAGCAAAACGGAAATCATTTCGAACAGTTTTTGTGACATGCTTTTGGGCGCACAGGTCCGCACTGAAATACTTGTCGGGGGGATACTTTATAAAACAAGGTAACATTTTTTTTTTAATTTTTTTTTTATTTTTACACACATATTTTGGTTTATCTTCCTTCTACAATCATTATCTGAAAATTAATGACTCAACTTCAAAGTCACCCTGTATGTCAAAATGCTAGAATTAAGCAAGATGATTAGCCAAATGCATGGTGGTCTGTCACTTGTAGGCAATATCCAGTTTTGGTGAAATTTGTCATGGTAAATCTCTGTAGTAGCGCGTACACTGAGAAATTGTCTTCTAAATCCGGCATATTGTAGGAGCAGCAGCGAAGCCCACTTTAGCCAGTAAAATTGTTTACTAATTCATTGATAATGGCGGTTTCTTTTACTTGAAATATAAAAAGCCATTATTTCAGTCTGTGAGTTACTTTGACTTCAAACATCTATTAATATTAGTTTTCTTGATTCGAGAAAGACAACATGTTATTTGTCTTTTTAGTTTATTCTTGGTGTAGTATGAATAAGAGGCATTATCTATTGAATTTTGATGTCTAAATTACCTTCGCTACGATCAGCCAATTTCATTCTATCTTAAAAAATTTATAGAGTATTCTAGCAATAGATATACCAGTATTTCCACGTATCTGGATTACTTTTATTTGCGGAGTAGGCAACCTTATACAAAAATAGCATTATTTTCGATGCTTAGTTCCATGAAATTTTGAAACAGGTGGTTTCGATTTAGATAAATTGTCTGATTGGGTTTTCTAGAATCTAATCCTCAATATCTTATCCTGACCACACTGTACTTATTTGTTATCCAAATGCGGAATAAAATCTACTAAAGTAGGTCCACCACTATGTGAAATCCTTTACGAATCATATTACAAACGCTGATAGTGATCTATTGATTTTCGCCTTCTTCAGGCATCTGCTGTAGCTATTGTAGAAATCTGATAAACTACCGCTATACCACTAGCAGAGTACCACAAGCAGGCAAACCCATCATCGTACATTATGTTGAGCGAAGTTTAAGTTTTTTGACTTCTTCTAATAATAAACGCCTATTTTTAACATTGCCCTTTGGTATCTCTTTTAGAATGCTCGTATTCCGTATACATCAACAACTAATCTGAAATTTATGTTATCAGAGCAGCAGGAAGTACGGATACGGATAAACGTGAGGCACAAAGAAACTCCGAATCTAATTGGGGCCCTTGCAGATTCATTAACTGAATCTCTTGCGTCACTGGGAAATATGAAATCTACCAAATTAATGAGCAAACAGCTCCGAATCACTCAAGCTGCAACTGTATAAAGTATACAGTAGCTACAAAGTCACAGCCGCGCATTCCTTATTAAACAGGGGGTGGCCTCCACATATACTCGTATTTTGCCACAGTATACATATCTACGTTGCAGTAAACCCTTGCTGGTCGAGTGAATTTAAAGGGTATCGTATGTCAGCATGGTCTCAGCGCTAGAGACACCGGTACAGAGTGTGACTATAGTATTACTATAGTATTTAATTAAAATTCAAATGTATAGTTATATCATGGATAACCTAAGTTCTATGTGTGAAGTACTGTTTTGAGTCATAGTCCTTAGAATTATTTCTCCCTAAAAACAACGAGGTTCTGTATCTCTCTACTTCGGAAATTACCGCTCCGTGGGTAATAGCGATAAGAATTGTGATATGCAAAACTCGATCATACTCGTATCTCAGTTGGCTGAACAATGCATGCAGCAATTCTCGGGTGTGCAACTTCTGAATATGTGCTTTCAGCCGACCCTCGTATCTTGATTTGGGCGTGCTGAATACAAGCACCGTTCTAATTCATACATGAACTACAGACACCTTATACTTTTATATTTGAATTTTCTATTACAACACTAGAGAAACCAGTGTAAATTGGTAGTAAAGATTTACAGTTCTTCAATTATCACCTAATTTGCCTCGACGATTTCGCTTGTTTGAGCTTCACGATCCAGTTCGTCCGCAGAATGCAAGAAACTAAGGGGTGTTACTGAAAGTAAATATGTGGTGTGGTGTTGGAATAAATTCTGTGATTTTATTTGGAGCAGTTGTGATAGTGTTGTTTGGCAGCACCTTGGAGGATGGTGTGACGATACCTAATTACATACACTTTCCAAGAGGAAACCCTTATGTTGGAGTAAGTTTGAGCGTGTATTAGGATGACGGTCTTCTCAACGAAAGCAACTGGCGACAGCAAGCCGACACGCGCACATATACTCAAATACAAGCGATCACACCTCAGTAATGGCAACTCGACCAGTTGCTCGATTGTTGATGACACTGCCATCGCTAGTCGCTCTGTGGATACCTACCAGTTGATGAAAGACGCAGTATGTGGATGTCACTGTAAAACTAACGCAAACACTATCATTTTGGTCACAAAAAAATCACCGATTATTAAATTAAAATACACCTAGTTCTTCTTTGCGTTTTCGTGTTATTTGAAGTGGTAACGTTAGATAATCAGTGTTGCAAGCATTCTAGGAGAGCTACAGTTGGTGCAAGTGTCACAAGCAACAAGTATTATATCAACAGAAGACATTGAGACAAGGCGAATAGATTAAGGAGAGACACCAGATGTAACCAAAAACATGGCGACTAAATACGTAGATAGTCCTTTTAGTCTAATCATATTAGACGAAAATACCCCTGGTTTGCGAAATAATTGTGAAGTCTGGTTTTATGCTGCAAGTTGTTCAAAGGGGTATTCGAAACATGGACGCATAAAGTGGGTACACCAATTTTTGTGGGAAAACTTTTTATTTTGCAACAGAGAATGAGAAAACGTGTGTCTTGGGATTCAATCGAAACTCGTACTCCTAAATAACCACAACAAAGTTGGAGTGGGTTGGTCAAGTAGTTTTTGAGAATGTCTAATTGTTTATCCTAAAACACCTGTGTTCCGGCCATCACTACTAGTTTATTGAGCAATATGCAGGGTTAGTTCAAAGACATTTTATAGCAAAATACACTAGTTCACCTTGCCGATATGAATCGCAAATCATTCCGGAAGATATATGTTATTTTATGCAAAAAAGAACGGGTTACTTTTTTTCTTCTAAACGAATTAAGACGTTTGGTTTTGTGAGTAATTCGCAACAAAGGATGATGGAAACATCCGCTTGAATGTTTGAATTCGATTAGAAGAAAAAACGTAACCTCTGTTTTTCGTTGAAAATTTATCTTTTGGAATGGTTTGTGATTCATATCGGCATGGTAAACACGTGTATCTTGCTATTAAATACTATTTGAACCAAACCTGTATATTGCTCAATAAACTAGTAGTGATGGCCAGAAAACAGGTGTTTTTGAATAAACAATTAGAAATTCTCAAAAAGCTGCTTGACCAATATAATCCAATTTTGTTGTTGTTATTCGCAAGTATAAATCCTACAGATTTGAAGAGTTTCAAGTAGTTGCGTGAAATTATCGTCGCATTACCAAGTGCCAGAACCTGCATTTTGGGCCATAACATTTTTGCTATTAGTCGGATCTTTTTACGTGTAGTCTCATTTTGTAGGTCTCATAAATACCTAAAAATCGTTCATTAAAAGTGTTTTCGTTCCTGTCAACACGTTCGATTGAATCCCAAAAAACAGGTTTTCTCATTCTCTGTTGTCAAATAAAAAGTTTTCCCACAAAAATTGGTGTACACACTTTGTTGGTCCATGTTTTAAATACCCCCACTGAACAACTTGCACCAATAAAACCAGACTTTACAATTATTTCGGGGAAATTTGCTAATATGATTAGACTATTTTTGGATTAATGCATTATACGTCACTGGTAGCGAACGCATTTTTGTTTGAACATATATTCATGGTGACGATACCTTATCATTCGTTTCCAGCCTACAAACAATACTCATTATGCAATAAACTTATAAACCACACAAGTCTGTAAGTTATCACACAGCTATTTATCTTTTATGGCTCTGCGCGGAATTAGCTTAGTAACAAAAGGAATGTAATATTAAAATTACTGCCAGTGACCTGGATAGCCTGGTCTTAATACGACTTATGAGTTTCTGTCGTAATCACCGAAAATCCTGAAGAGAGGTGAACTCCATTCAGGTCAGCATAAATGTAGCATCTATGAGCGAATCGCCAAATCAAGGACGGTCCTCAGAGGTATTACGTAACTTGAAAAGTGACATTATATATGTTTTTTAACATTATGTCGGTTTTTTGTTACATTATTGTAGGTTTTCCAACAAGACGTCAACTTGAAACTAGCTGTCGTTCACTTCATGCTCACGTGTAGCAAGCGCGGAGTGAGGTATTTGCACACTTGCCCACTTAGTCAACACGCTGACGTTTCATCGGTTTTGGCATTATACAGGGTGTTTCAGTTTATTGTTGCATAACTTTAAGATTCGATAGAACTTTTAAAATTAATGCATAAAGTCTATATAAATATGGGTCGAAAAATGCGTGGCTTCCGAAATACAGGATGTTTAAATTTACTTTTTCAAATAGTTTTTTTTTTAAATATTCCAAACAATATTTGATGTAACACAGTGAAAATTGGTATACAAGGGTTTTTTGGTACGACAAAATGAACCATGGGCATAGTTTTACTGTAGCCGCTAGAGGGCGCTCTCTACTGTACCTGTAGTGTATTAAAATGACCGAAAAAATTTTCTTAGTGAAATTTTTGCTTTTTGAATAAAAAAACTGATTCTTCATACTTTTCTGCATAAAAAAGCCCTCACGTGAGTTTTCGTTATAGTTAGCCGTTTTTGAGATATTTAGATTTTTAAGGTTCGATGCATTTTTAACTATTTATGGGAAAATAATATTTTTTTTACATTTTTGATTTGGGCATTACAAGTAATTAAGATGATCGTTTAAAAAAACAGAATATTAATTTGTCTAATTTTCCAATATTATTTTTAACCAATTAAATTAATTATTTACAACTAAAATGCTATTCGATAGTTAGGACAAACATACAAAATCTAAAGTAGTTGCTCGAAATGTAAACCCAATTGTTCAATACACAATTCACATCTACGAATGATCGAACGTGATATAGCATTATTCAAAGGCCTTATTTTATCACATGCATTCCTGATTCTGTCTATTAGCATATGTATGTCTTGTGGTTACGGGAGTCTGGTACACTTTTTCTTTTAGAAATCCCCACACAAAGAAATCTAATGGATTTAGGTCAGGGGATCGTGGAGGCCAGGCGACTGGTCCTCCACGGCCGATCCATCTTTCTGGATAATTTTCGTCCAGCCAGTTTCTAACTTTTCTCGAATAATGAGCTGGACAACCATCAAGCTGGAACCAGGCCAATCTTCTTAAATCTAACATAACATCATCCCACATATTTGCATGTTCAGCCTTTAAAAATTCCAAGAAAGTCGCAGCATTTAACCTTGCAGGCAAAAGGTAGGGTCCAAATAGTCGATTACGTTAGATACCAATCCACATGTTCACACTAAATTCATGCTGAACATTTCTTTTCCGAACTGCATGCGGATTTTCATGCGACCAAATATGTCGATTATGAAAATTTACCACTCCACGTCTAGTGAAGCATGACTCATCGGTCCATAAAATGTTACTTAAAAACTCAATATTATTATCAGTTCTATCAAGAATCCACTGACAAAATGTGATTCTTCGTTCTCCGTCCCCTGGCTGTAGTCCTTGCACAGGTTGCAAATGGTAAGGACGTCTATGGTCATTTCTAAGAACACGGTGAACATGGATTGCTGAAATTCCCAAGGCACCAGAAACTCTCCTAACACTTGTGGTCGGATCTCTATCAAACTCACGCAGAATCATACGGGTAAATCTGCGCTGACGATCATTTATGTTTTCATCCCATTGGAGATTTCCAAAACCATTTTCAATTATTTGGCGATGCACTCTTACAAATACTAAGCGAGTTGGATGTCGTCTGTTTGGAAATCTTCGTGTGTATTCTCTGGCTGCTTCTGCTGCGTTTCCATTTACAAAGCAATACACAAAATGAATATCCGCTAACTCTTGATTGGAGAATAAAAATGGCATTTTTATAAAACTCACAAAAAAAAACAGATAAAAGAAACTAAATTGCACAATTGCAAAAAAACTTTTCAGGTTTCAACAGACAACAAAACTAACTGTCAACTAATTGACGTTTAACCTTATTCTGCTTCCAATTTCAAAAATATTTGCAGGCACAGCCTACTTCTAAAAATTATCGAGATATTGACTTTTTAACGTTATTTTATCATAAATAATTAAAAATGCATCGAACCTTAAAAATCGAAATATCTCGAAAATGGCTAACTATAACGAAAATTCACAAGAGAGCTTTTTTATGTTGAAAAGTGCGAAGAATCATTTTTTTTATTCAAAAAGCAAAAAATTGCACTAAGAAAAGATTTTAGTTCATTTTAATACACTACAGTACAGTAGAGAGCGCCCTCTAGCGGCTATAATAAAACTATGCCCATGGTTCGTTTTGTCGTACCAAAAAACTCTTGTATACCAATTTTCACTGTTATACATCAAATATTGTTCGAAATATTTAAAAAAAAACTATTTTAGAAAGTAAATTTAAACACCCTGTATTTCAGAAGCCACGCATTTTTCGACCCATGTTTATATAGACTTTATGCCTTAATTTTAAAAGTTCTACCGAATCTCAAAGTTATGCAACAATAAACTGAAACACCCTGTATAGGTTTCTTTACGTAGTGACCCTGCCGCTCATAGGTCGCCACTGCTTTTGTGAACTAGTGATAGTCCAACAGTCGACTGCAAAGTTTGGTGACATCGCGTACTCATATGAGCATAGTCAAAGATGACAAGTTTGCTGCTTAGCATCAACATACGTAAGATTTGACCAGTTCTCATCTATCATATCAGTACGCAGTGATGTAGCTAAAAATCTGCGGTCGGCTCCTCTACTACTCGTATAATGCAGGAGAACAATATCAATGGAACCGAACGACTGATTATAAAGACATTCCAACATGATAGCTGCTCTTTGGTAAAATAGTGTACGAACGGTGGTCATACTCAAGAGATGTGTTTGGGCACGGAGACTTACTTTCCGCAGATCATTGTTTGCATATTATATTTATTATACAAGCATTGGGAATACTTTATTGATGGAAAAATACCACATGACGTATCTGTGCTGGTTGATTGATCTGCCTAGAACTTTATTAGTGAGATACTTGACTCATACGACTTTCTGCTAGTCAAGGATCCTGGGAATCAAAATATTTTACTCATAGTCCACATTCTTAGTAGAATAAACATGTTGCGTGACTCTTTGTACAGTGTTAAAACGAAATCGCCAGTTGCTTAGCACTTCCGTTCAGTAAGAATCCAAAAGCAACACATATAAAGTATAAATCGGGTGGAGTTACCGTAGTGTTGCTTTTAGTGAGCGGACATATACAAAAAAATAAAGTTTGTGCAATAAATATTTTTCTAATTCTGCTGTAAGTGTTGGCAATGCACCATTTACTTCTTGAATGCAATTTTCTGCAAAACGTATATCCTCCATGAAAGTCATAGCATTGCCATAACAATAAAGAATATGATAAAAAGTTATGGCTTTAGAGCAGTTAAGGCTAGCGGAGTATTAAAGCAGTCATAAAATAACAAGTAGATGTTTTAGGACCGCATTTGATTAGACAAAATGATGTTAACTTAGGGACAAAAGATAACCAGATAGTTGATTAATATGTATAACTCCTGCAACTTATTCGAAGGTTTTCGTGTTTATAGGACTTCATTGACTGGGCGGATCAAGTTGTCAGTGTACTTGAAAAATACAACTGTGGCAGCCGAAATGCCGTACAATAAACAGAAATTAAAACATAGACAATCAGGATTCCGAAAAATCCACAGCACTGTTACGGTTTTAACTGATCTTTGCGACGACTATCTGAGCGCTATTGATGGTTCTTGTGTAACAACCGCTGTTTCTATTGATTCGAGTAAAGCATTTGACTGTTTGCATCATAGAATGCTTCTAGAAAAGGTACATTACTTTGGATTTTCTCATGAATCAGTTACCTGGTTCCAGAGCGGTCTAACTGGACGCGTACAGAGGGTCAAAGTTGGGCATTGTTTTTCTGATGGAAAGGAACTGGCTAAAGGTGTCGCTCAGGGATCTATTTTGGGCCCGATTTTATTCACGTTCTATGTCTCAGACCTAGTTAACACCATCAAGTTATGTCGTGTGCACTCATATGCTGATGATACACAGATTTACCTTTCATTGACTCCCTCTGCATATATCGAAGCAAACAGAATGTTAGCTGATGATTTAAACAACTTATGTAACTGGTTCAAGAACCACGGCCTATGCGTTCAAATCCAAACACAGTAATTTTGATAGTAATCTAATGAACCTATGTATCGAAAATGAAACACTAGTTCATAAATCGACAGTACGCAATTTGGGGATCATATTGGATGAATATCTAACGTTCCACGATCATGTCACAAAAATCGTTCAGAACTCTTACCCGAAACTTAAAACACTTTATAGTTATAAATATACCACAAAAAACGAAAATTAGACTCTCTGACTCCCTGATTTTGAGTAAACTGCAATATGGTGATTCGGTTTTCGATCCATGCCTGACACAGGCTGAGACTTACAGGACTCAAAAGGTTCAAAATAGTTGTGTTAGGTATTCTCTAGGTGTAGCATGAAGAGAGAGAATTTCTAATCATTTAAGAGAAATAAATTGGCTTACGATGCGGCAGAGATGGATGGTTCACTTATGCCACTGGACCACACTACACTGATGACAAAAACGCCAATATATCTTAATAGTAAGCTTAGTTTGAGGTGTGAAAGTTCACCTAAGATTTGTGGGTTACACCCTGGACATACCGTATCATACAACTGCTCAATTTAGGAATTGATTTTCTTATATCGCACCCAATCTATACAATAGATTGCCATCAAGTGTAAAGACACTTTCCAAATTTAGTATCGCAAAGAAGATCAAGCAATTCGTTTTAGACAACATTGTTTCAATTTTTAAATAAATTTTAAGTGTCTTTGTTGTATCAGGCTGTTAATATGTATCTTGTACTAACCTATTAATCCTTTTCGAGCTTTCTTTCAATGTCTTTACTGAGTGCCTTGTTAGTGTGTGTTCGTGACATTTACATTTTCTTTTAATCTGCTTTCTAATTTGCTTTTTCGATAAAATTGTACTGTATCTTTTGTGTTGCCCTGGTTGGTCGTAAGAGCAGCTTCATAGCTGTTACGTGCCAGGTAAAATAAAGGCCTATTATTATTATTATTATATATGTGGTTTGATTCGGCCAAACAATCGAGTCATATACACATAGTTGATGATGCAGCCAACTCCTTCAGATAGTTCTAAGACGTCTGACCTGAGACTTGGTACTTTTCTTTCTTGAAGCAAGCAGTAAAGTAAGCAAAAAAATATTGGCCACACGTGAAAATAAATTTGAAAAAAGCAATACATCATTAATTTGATGAGAAATTTCAAATACTGTCTTATCGCAAGTTGATTAAAGTAGTATTTAAAAATGTTGCCGTTTCATTCGAAAATACACGTGTTGTTAGCTCCTATCTGAATTCGTATGATATAGGCATATCTACGCGGCCCGGAGCACAAACATCCAGTAAACTCTACTGAATACACTCGCGAAGTATCAATTGCATCTTGAAGACCGTCAGTGTAACCTAACATAATATCGATTGCTTTGTCGTTGCTATAGGAAGGCGCCAATTTCAATTCTTCAAATCCGATTTGGAAGTAAACTAGGTTAATCTAAACACTGCAAAGCACGTGATTTCTGTAGTGGCATCGATGCGGGGTCTGGCTGGAATATTAAGATTTTTTTTGCAACTTAATATCGCGGTTATTTTAAGGCATTCGCTCTCCTTGAAAAAAGTCCCAAATTCAATGTTCTTTTAGCATTACTTAATATATTCTCTCAGAAGATAGGCAACCATGCACTGTATCATAGTTCACTTACAATTTCCATCATCACAACAATGTTGCCCAGTAGTGTTGTGGGAATTTCTTCATAAATCACAAAAACAGACTCCATTCTTCTTTTAGAGAAAATAGACACGACATCATTACATAGAAAGATCACCCCTTAATTTCCTCATATTTATCCTTGAGACTCGTATTTCGCAGTATTTCTGGACTAAAAACAAGGAAATCCCAGAACCTGCGACATCAGTTAGAGAGGTGACAAAGCTGGCACCTAAAGACGTTGAACGATACGTATATAGCTGTATGCATAAGTAGTTGGCAGTGCTGTAGTACGTAAAGCACGGCTGGGTTAGGTGTCTTCTGGTGGGGTATGTTAATCTTATTTTATCTTTTCAGATGTTTGTTGCGATAGCTATACCTCTAGACCTAAGAGGACCTGCAGATGTATTTTTCTCAATGAACTTTGAGTCGTCCTATCCACTACCTCAAAACCAGACTCAGTTCAACTATCCCCCAATCATAGGAAGTACAACAAGACAGATGATCTATGGATATTTGGAATCAAAAATAAATTCGTAAGTAATTTCAAATGCCTATACATACAGAAGCGCTGCTGAAAAGACATACTTAAAGTTGACGATAGGTACTCCAGCAATTTCAGTAACAGAACTGCTTATTTGCAGTATGTTAGAAACATGGTATTTTGATATGCTTGACTGCATCCGTTTTCAGCTATAGTTACCCGGAAGCTCATACTAGAATTGTTTTCTGAACATAATTTTTTTTGCTAGATATGGCTATCCCGGCAAAGAGTGTCTACAGAGAGCAGTTTGTGAGGCTACAGAGTATACCACAAAGAATTACGGAGTTCTAGGGGATATAGTCCATATTTTATTAGCGTAAGTATCCATGGTTTTCAGAACCATATTTGGACAGGTTAAATAAATAGTAGTTAAAAATAGCGTCGGATAGATTGACTCTATACTTCCTACGTCTTCGTTGGATGTTTCAATGAAAAGTGGTGAGTCAAGTCGTTTCAAAAGGCAGAATGGAATCGTGACTTCACTGAACCAATTTACAAAATCTACGACTAAGCGACGGAAGTATTGAACTCGGGATAATATTTGAACTTCAGTTCACAGGTTTTCTCTTTCTCAAAGACATCTGCATCACATGTCCATGTCCAAGTCATTTATGTCGATTTGTCAGTCCGTGTCTGTTGTATATCAATGCGTAATAAGTACCGAGTCAAGCTACTTTACGAGATATTCAGAAAATCATCGTAAACAGGGCAACAAAATTGGAGGTTAGGCTAAATGTCATCCTTAGCAAAATCATCGTAGAGCGGTAAGGTACGTATGAGCCCCTTCCCACTTCAGTTGGCCCAACTATTGAAATCTTAGTTTTTTTTCTTATCAAACACAAATAATAAAAATGTAGTAGGGTGTTATAGGTTTAAAATATTAACAATGAATATTTTGATAATATATAGTCGAAGACACCAACTTTATCACTCCCTAATCAAATTTGCAGCATAAAAATAACACATGTTGCAATTACAGCATATCAACCTATTTTCATTTCAATGCAAAATAAGTCTATAACGCATAGGTGGCTGTGAAAAATAAAAGCCATGACCATTGTTTTTATTAATCACAGCTGTCAGAATACGTTCAAAATAGTTTTGGGTAGTTAAGGTTTTCAAAATGGGTAGAGGAAAGGTTATTAGTGAGAAAATTCGGGTACTGATAATTAAATCTTTAATTCTGGGAAATCAAACTCAGAAATTGCAACTTTGTTAGACTCATCGCGATACAGCGTGAGAAATATTGTTAGAAGATATAACGTAACTGGTTCAGTTAATATTGAGCCACGATATGTGAAAAAAAGTAATATCACAAATGCCGACCGAAGAGCATTAAGAAGAATAATCGTGAAAAACAGGCGTGCCAATTATTTACAGTTAAGTGCTCTGTGGAGTGACGCTGTTGGAAGGAGAATTTCGAGGTCCACAACGCATAGAGAGGCCCACAAACTGGGATTTAGCACTTGCAAGGTAAGTTTTCTTATAGAAAAAGTGAAGTAAAAACCCTAAAGTTGCACAACTTGTTTATAGACCAAAGAAAAGCCACTATTAACTCCACTGGAAAAGAAAAATCGGTTTAGATGGGCTAAAGAACATAGACAATGGACACCTCAACAATGGTGTGCAATACAATCGAGTGATGAGGCCCGATTTGAAGTTTGTGTTGGTGACAGTCGCAGTAGAGTTATTCGCAAAAAAAATGAAGCATTCCATGTTGACTGTCTGAAGAGAAAAGTGAAATTTCCAACATCCATTATGGTCTGGGGCAGTATGTCATCAAAGATAGTAGGAAAACTTCATTTTATTGATGGAAATGTGGATACAAACAAATATTTGGTAATTTTAGAAGAACCGCTTTTACCAGTGATGGAATAATGTTTGACATCCGGCCAAGATTTTGTGTTTCAGCAAGATAGTGCAGCGTGTCATACCTCAAAAAAGGCTATAAAATGGATGGAAGAAAATAATGTACCACTTTTGAAATGGGTTTCTAGCAGTCCAGATCTGTCACCTATTGAAACTTTGTGGCACGAGATGAAAAAGGTTCTACAACATCCTGCTCGTACAATCACCGAACTGAGAGAAAAGCTTCAAGAAATATGGGATTGTTTTACACCAAATTTTTGCCAAAACTTGCGCCAAAGAATTTCAGCCGTAATAAAAAGGAAAGGTGATGTTACCCAACGGTAATCTTTCAATTGTTGCTTTGTTAACTTCTATTAGTTATAGGTCTTAATGATTTCAAATATGTATTTTTTACGACTGGAGTGTATCTAAAATGTTTTTGAGAAAATAAATTGTTTTATAAGTAAATAGTTTCGTCAGGTTTGGTTTATAAAGGCATATTTTGGTACAAATCTTGAAGTGGGCCAACTGAAGTAGGAAGGGGCTCGTACTTCTGAAACCCAAATATTTCTAAAATATACAAGAATTCGCTTGTTGAAGTGTAGCGTTGTGTCCGTGTCGACATCGCCGCAGCATACTGATGTTAGTTACCTACTGCGGTTGCCAAAGTCGGCAGTGGCCTGCACGACGATGCGAAAGCATTGCGCGGCGCACACAATGCCAACGAGGTTATTTCGAATTACGAGCACATCATATATCGGACCCTTATCATTTAATTCTTCCGTTGTTACCGGGATTAGAAGTGTCCTAATACTGAAGGTTTTCTACCCCTACATTTTTTTGAAAGCCTCTAGCTCTAACACGTCAAAAAACCAATTTTATGCCATTTTTTTTATTCCTTTTTTGCCCCCCCCCCCCCTCCGCCCGACTCCGCAGCCACTAGACCAGTTTTTCGTCCTTGGCAAAGTGGAGTGATATAGGTATAGAGTGATAGAGGGGTCAAGGACTAGAGAACAGACAGATGGAAAGGAGTGCCGAGGCTTTTCGTGTTGCATATGTCATATAACATCCCAATAATCATAATTTCCCATTTAAGCAATTTTTCGCGAATGCAATTCTTTCTCGACCAGTGGCGTAAGAAATAGAAAAGGTACAAATCTTTCCAAAACTCCAAAGCTTCTTGGTGTAACCACCACTACGTGATACTGTACATGTTTTCGAAGTATTTCTACAGCCATGTACAGATATGTAACAAAACCGCGAACCGAACCACGTGACGAACCGCAGCGCGTGCATTTTAACGGACTACATTGCAACGAACATCACCACAAACCGAACGAAGTGGTGCAACGACATCGCGCAACACAATGACGATTCAATTTTGATTTGTGTCGTTCAGTGTAAGACGAATACTGGCAGAAATGGATATATACTAAGTGACATATAAATCCGAACACCCAGTTTAAATGGTTTTATTTTAATAAAATTTTGTATAAGTACTTAATGCAGCATAATAAGTAAACGATAAAAATTTCAAAATGATTGCCTGCTTTACAGCCCTTTGACCTTTAATAATGTGTGGATGAACCCTGATGTGCTACGCATTCTCCAACGCGCCTAGGCATGCTTCTGATCAGGTGGTCAATGTCCTCCTGTGGTATCTCATTCCAGGCAACCACCAACTCCTCTCGAAGTGTTTCTAGAGTCTGAGGAGGACGTTGCAAATTGAGCAATCTCCTACCCATCGTATCCCACACGTGCTCAATTGGGGATAAGTCGGGAGATCTTGGTGGCCATGGTAACAATGTGACATCATTGTGTTGAAAGAAGTCTATTTTGACTCTTGCAACATGTGGTCGGGCATTATCTTGTTGGAAAGTTGGATCTGCCAGGGTTTCAAGATAGGGTAAAAGATGGGGTTCTAGAATTTCGATATAACGCTGCGCGTTCATGTTACCTCTGATGAAGATTAAAGGTGACCTGGAACCATAAGCTATATCACCCCAAACCATAACTCCAACAGTGTGATGAACATGTCTTTCAACAAAAAACTGTGGATTCCTCCTTTCATCACGTCGCCTTCTAACCCTGGCACGACCATCATGCATGCCTAAACAAAATCGAGACTGGTCACTAAAGACAATACTGTTCCATTCCTGATCCCAGAGTGACCGTTGTCTGCACCACTCAAGGCGATTACGTCGGTGTTCTCGAGTTAAAGGGAGGACCCAGTGTGGCCGGTATGAAAACAAGCCAAAACTTCTCATTCGTCGGTAAACACTTCTACGGCGGCGTCCAGTGCCCCTTGCTGTTTGCGCACGGCCTTCTCGAAGCCATGCCTGACAACACCTAACCACAGTGTCTACACTTCTTTGCACTCTAACTGCAATTGCCCGAAAAGAAAGTCCAGCTTCCCGAAGTCCCACTATACGGCCCCTATCAAACTCACTAAGTTGACGAAATCGTACAGGTCTCCGTACTCTAGGCATCGTAACCGATCGTAAAGGATGTCAAGAACCAAAATCCGACAACGTTGATTCTTTACTTCGGCTGAAATATTCATTTTTAGAGCGTTAGTGAATAAAAAAAAAGCAGTATAAAAACCGGAATGTCCAACTGATAAGGCTGAACAATTTTTCACTTGTTATTTACAGTAAGATAAATACATTCACCAACTTTTATTAAAATAAAACCATTTAAACTGGGTGTTCGGATTTATATGTCACTTAGTATAGCAGTAGCAGCAGCTGACTATATTTATATTCACTACTAATTACCCAAAAACAAGCGACGACGACGTCCGAGACGATGGTAACAAACGCAGTTATATACCAATAGATCAGCACAAGGTTGCAACAATTTGATAACGGAATTGAAATTTCATCATGTGGACAGTACAAAAAATTTACAAGGATGTCTACGACGGATTTTGAGGATCTTCTCACGTTGATTGCACCAAAAATACGAAAACGAGATACAATATTCCATCACAGTGCAAGAAAGAATTGCAGTCACGGTGCGATTTTTAGCGACCGGTGATTCATGTAGTAGTTTGCAATACATATTTCGAATTTCAAAGTAATCGATCAACTACATCATTCCAGAAGTTTGTGAGGCATTGATCGAAGTTTTAAAGGAGAATATACAAGTAGGAAAAATAATTATTTCACTTCTAAGTAGTCGTACATTACAAAATAACACATTCGTTGTCGCCGCACCGGTATGCCTGTCCAAACATGTGCAACTTCGTCGCGAGACATTTCTTAAGCCGCGTCCAGATTTGTACCACATCGTGCAACCGTACCACGCCGCGAACCAGTCTGGACGTCGGAACGAACGCCGTCGCGAACCTAATATGTGTTGCAGCTCGAGGTACGTCGCGATCCACGGCAAGTCGGTAAATGGACGGAACATCAAAGGATTGGTGCGCGACGACGTTACACAAGTCTGGACAGGCAGACGAACAACTTCATTTCTTCAATCATTATTTGGGCTCTCTGCTAGCGAAATGGAGTGGACCGAAGACCACGTGCTAGAATTAATCAGTTTATATAGGCAAAATGAATGCTTATGGAATCCAAAACATTCATTATACTATAACAAACTTAGAAAATATGATTCATGGGTCAAAATAGCTGCCGAATTGAACCAACCGGTGGAGGAAATCAAAAAAAAAGTGACCAATTTGCTTTCTTCATTCCGACGGGAGAGGGCTAAAGTGAAGAAAAGTGGAGGAACCAGAAAAGGTATATTTTAATATTCTTGTTTATCTTACAATATAACTTACATATATTTTTATTTTTATCAATAGGCTCAGATGACATTTATGAAAGCAACTGGTTTGCATACAAGACGATGGAGTTTCTTCTAGACAAAAATTGCCCTAGAGAAACATCAAGCACGGTAAGTTTATACGAATAATCATCATGTCATTCAAGCTGACCATGAAAATATTCTGCCAATTCTTCTCGAATTTCTTGAGCACGTTTGCATGACCTGCGAGGTACATTTCTCAACGGAAGTAGTGAAGTCTTTGGCTTCGTTCCAACAAAGCCGTGTACCGTACAGTGGACCGTCATGAGCATGCGCAGTACGTTTTAAGTGACCCTAAAAAAGTAATTGTTTCATCATTCGGAATTATCCGTCTCCAGCTTCCTTCAATAAGGCGACCGTCCACTTCTGTATCGAATGTCCCGGGGGGTGTATAGACATTACAAGAATTACAACTTCTTCTCAAAAAATTGTGTAAATAAGCTATTGTCATTACAATTAACTCGACCTTTCCTGGTTCCAATAGTAGTGGCTTTCGTAACACTCGGAAAACTGCCGAAGAAATGCCAAAGACATTTTCCACCACTCGACGTGCTCTACAGAGGCAATAGTTATAAACTCGTTTCACATACCCTTTAGTATGTAGGCCTGGGAAAGGTTTCATAACATTTTCAGCCAATGCGAAAGCTTCGTCTCCAAGAAAAAAGAAAGGTATACTTTTTTCTCTTCCATTTAGAGGTTCAGCTGGTGGAAGACTCAAACCATTTTTCTCTAATTTCTTGTACAGTTGGGTGTTTTTGAAAACTCCGCCATCAGATATTCTGCCTTGGCACCCAGCATTCACGTATAGAAAATTATATTTTGCGTCCGCCACAGCAAAAAAGACAATGCTGAAGGTACTCTTATAATTAAAATATTCGCTTCCGCTATTTATGGGTGCTTGTAAAACAACGTGTTTTCCGTCTAAGGCCCCGAGGCAACGTGGAAAGTTCCATATTGATTCAAACTCGTCAGCCACGGTTAGCCATCCCTCTTGTGATTTGGTTATCTGTAAATAAAACGCAAATAAACTGCACGTCGAATATATCATTATTAAAAAATTATATAAAAAGCACAAACTTTTTATTTATAGATTTTGGATGAAGACACACAATCCGAGCATTCAGCTTCCGGTTTGACTCGCGATGGGCAGAAGCAGACGCCATTGCTTCGTCCTACTACAACTGGTGCCGCTCTAGGTCCATCCCTTGACCCAATTCCCAAAAAAAGTAGGAAAAATGGTGGTTCGCAAGACAAACTAGAAGCAGCATTCCAAATTCTGAAAACATCTGCTGCTCACAATCAGAAAGATGACAGCGAATCTGATCTATTTGGAAAATTGATAGCTAAAAAATTGGACTCATATTCTAAAGTTACGAAAATCGCTGTGCAGCAAGCCGTAATGGGTATCATCTTTAATGCAGATTCAGGATTCTATGACCAGCCACAACATCCCCTTCCCAGGCCAGTCAATCTTCACTCATCAATTTCTCAATATAAATACCATCCTTATCCTACACCAAATATAATACACCACCCTGTACAACCACAGAGTTATTCGTCTGCTCTCACAATATCATCCCAAGATCCCTCATATTCTCAAAACCAACATTCTCATTACCAACAATCTCAACATCCGATATCGCCACAAGAATATCATAATAATTCATCTTCATCACTCTGTTCTCCCCCTGAATGTTCCCCTACAAATCCTTCGTCAGAAGAAACTACATATGAAGAGCTTGTAAAAGCGACGATGTGTGACTAATTTGTTCATAACTTGAAATATAGAAAATATGAACCCACTAAATGTGTTGCTTTATTTACCTGAATACTTCCTTTCAATTCTTCAACTAAGGCTTGGCAAACTTCTGGAACGATTTCGCTAATGGACTGCTTGGAAATTCTGAACAAATATCGTAAGCTTGAATAGGGATCTCCTGTTGCCAGAAAACGTAGGGTCACAGCTAGTCTGTCTTGCACTGAAATTGCTTTCCGGAACTTGGTGTCTTGCTTTTGTATGTATTTTAGGCCCAATTGCATTCAACAGATATTCAAAATCTGTTGGTGACATTCGAGTGAAATTTTTGTATTGGCCACTAATTTTTTGCATCTTTAAATCCGCAAGTAAATTATTTGCGCCATATTTCATTCTGTTTCTAAATATTTCTGTTTGCCACCACCGTTTTCGTTTTCGCTTTTTAGCTGATAAAGCGTAATGAATATATATGAACGCTGCTGCGGCGACATCCATTTTGAAAATTGAATCGACTACTACTACCGAGCAGAAATTCAAATATATTCGTTCACCACGGATCGCCTAAATGGTTGCAGAGCGAGGTTCGAAGTGTTGTTCGATGCAGCGTACGTGATTGCGAGATTTCTGTTCGCAAGGTGGTTCGCGACGTGGTACCGTTACGCGATGTGGTACAAATCTGGACGCGGCTTTAGATTTTGCGCTGAAAATCCGACAGAGCCTGGATTGGGCCGTACGGTTCGCGACGGTGTTCTTTTCACCATCTACTCTAGCGCGGCGCGGTTCGTCACGTGGTTCGGTTCGCCGTGTTGTTACATATCTGTTCATGGCTTAACAAATGGGGTAATCAGAAAGTTGTTCTTCTTTGCAGGCCGTCAACATCTAAGAAAGAGTCAAATATCACAGACTACCTTGAAGCAGAAGAGTTTGCTAGAAAACAGGGGCATTGCAAGAAGTTTAGAGAAAACTGCAAGTTGAGCATACTGAATCTGATAAGCAAAGTAACAAGTAAAATTAAGGTGTAAACGTGCTGTATAATTGACTACCTCATTAAAGATAAAACGAACTGACAATTATGGTGATTACTATTTTGACCTCTCCAGAGCCTTGGATGGACGATCAGGCTAATTAATGAGCACTCGGGCTCATGCTGTATTCATGGCATAGCTATAAAAGGTAGTGTATTTGTACTACCGGGTAATCCTGATACAAATAAGCTGAAAATGTAAATAAGTTTTCTAGCTTAATTCGACTGCTAGATACCTAAAATCTAAAAGCTTTTTAACACATCCAAATTAATATAGAACCGCACAGTCGTTCATGCTATATTAATACAACCCACAGAATCAACGGTAACGTGTTTGTGCTGAATAAGGTGAAAGACCCTGTACTCCTCGGCAGATATTATTCACTCTTAAAATTGATTTGATTGCTATCGACCGTGACCAATTCCTCTAAAACTTGCTTATCTACCCGAAAACTTCAAAAACAATGAAATCTTACGACTGGCGTTCACCTTGTTTACTACCCTATACAGAAAAGTTCCGTCTGCATGAAAGTTACTGAGCCGTGTCCGAGAACCGTCAAACTGAAAACTTAACCAGAGAAGAATTACTGTAACTAGATGAACCTATTGCACAATTGAAATGATTTTTATGTAAAAATCCAAGTCTGCCAGTTGTAGCTACAAAATTTCCACTAGATACTGTACCTCTACTGCAACTCGAATTCTGCTAGCTGGACTTGTAGGTTGCAGGATTGTGGGATAGGTACATATTGTCCGTGCGCTGTGAAAGCTTCTATACGGCCAGCAAAGCGAGTGTCATCTGGAACAGTGTTTCAATATCAAAGTAGACAGCACATACAGGCAAACAACTAGCCACGTTTACACCGCGGGTAGCCAACCACTGGACTATGTTACTTCATGTGTATCTATGCTAAGAGACGGGCAGCACTACTTCATTTACACCGTGCTCTGTGCGCTATACAAGGGCTCAGATATTGTGATCCCTTATAAACATCACGTTAAAGGTTTATCTTATCGGGCAGTTTAAGTTGGCTGGTACTGTTCCATCTCTTGGAACGGTGCGGTGTGAGCTCACGGTATTGTGGTATATTAAATTTTGAAAAAATCGCATTTGCGGTTGTAGCCACGAGATGACGGAACAGGTAGCCGTCACCCGTTTTATTTAAACAAAAAGTCACCTGGATTGTGGCAAAGTTGTATGTATCATTTAGGTAATCAACAAAATGCCGCTTGAAAGGTTTCGAAACTCAAAGTACTTCCGGAGATATACGGAGAAAGACGAATTTTTTCTAAAATTGTTTTAATTTTTTCCTGACTATAATTGTGGTGGGATTTCAAAATGAATCGCACATTAACATCGCCACTTTTTCTCATCTACAAGGTGGCATCATTAGAATTTCAATATGCCTCGCGTTTTGTCCTCCAGAATAGAATCAACTCTGTCTTACGGACGCCATATTATATTTTACGCAGGTAAACAGAATTTTCAATTCTGATTCCAAAAATTATTAATATGCCATAGATTGACATTGACAAACCTTAGTTATTCCGGAAGAGCAGAATTTCCTAGGTAGGCTTTGAAATGACCAGATTTCACCTGATTCGTATACCAGACCTCAAACTGAACACAGTAACAACGTTTGTAAGACTGAGAAGAAGAAAAATAAACCTTGCAGTGAACGATGTACAGTGAAGAGTGAGGGTTTGCCTACAAAATAACGGACATTTTGAACATCTGCTATGATTAAGCTCTGCTCATTTATTATTATTATTCCTATTGCCATCAATCAAGTTTTCATGTTGTGTTCAGGTTTCGCCATAACTTTTAATTTCCTTATAATCTTCATCAAACTACAAATTCATGGTCAACTAAGGAAATACTTCACTAAACTTAGGATTAAAACGTCCATTTGAATGTACGAAATTTTAGTATAGCGTCCATATGAGAAAAACAAAGTTGGTGATGGAAGCCGACAGAAAAATGTCGTATTGACAATTTGACTACACCATCTTGTCAACGAGAATAGGTAGCTATGACAACAGGCAATTAATTTTGACATCCCATCTAAAATGAAGTCGGGAAAAAATAAAAATGGTTTTATCAATCTGGTATGGGAAACAAATTACTACCTGATAATCTCAAGACCTTCCTAGGAAATTTTGATTTTTTTCTGCTGAACTAAGGTTTGTCAATGTCAATGTCTGACGTATTATACATTTTTGGAATAAGAATTAAAAATCCTATTCATCTGAGCAAAAATCTAATATGGCGTGTATAAGAAAAAACAAAGTTGATGCTAGAGGACAAGGGACGAGGCGTCATATTGAAATTCGAATTAGGCGATTATGTTGTAGAGGGGAAAAAGTAGCATTGTTAATTTGAAAGTTATTTTGAAATTCCACTACAAATAGTCAGCAAAAAATCAAAGCGATTACACAACCGGTCGGCGAATTTTGGCCTTTTCTCGCTGAATCTGAACTGCACGGGTATTATGTAAAAAACATATAAAACGTCAAAAAATACTAAAGCGTCGTCTTGCAGACTAGGTAGTTTTGAGGGTGCTAATAGTTCATTCCGCGTTTGCTCGCTATGACTGCAGCGGGCGTCCATCTATGGAGGAATGACTCAACTACATGCACTGTTGGTGCATACGTTTTGTGAAGCCGAGTAGTCTGTAGATTTCATCTCTGAGAAGAAAGTTGGTTGAATAGCAAGATCGCATCCGGATGATTATGTGAGTTGGTCTGCATGTGTATAAAATCAGTGATATTTGCTGTGTGAGGAAATTATTACTGAACATGCTACCAATGAAGTATACCTATTAGCTGTGCCCGACGGGTTATTTATATGTTGTCTTTCCTGAAGACAAGTTATGTTAAAAGTTTTAAATTACGATTTTTCTCGTTTTTTGGGTTTACAAAAATTTAGAGGAGGACTACGAGAAATCGCCACCGCGCCCGCGTTGTGTGCAAAACGTCACAGAAAAATTAGTAATGATGCACATCACATATAAAACGTTTTCCCAATGCCTCACATGTAGGCGCTGATTTGTATTTTCTATCAACACCGCAAGAATTGCTAGCTGCAAAGTGACAGTTAAAGCAGTCCGATCGCTATCTCTCCCATTTTCCAATTACTTAAATGAGTATTCAGCACTCTTTTATGTAAAGTAATTGCCTGTGGAGGAATGACACAACGAACTATATTATATAACTTACAGCTTGAGCTATAAAGCTATGAATGGCCTCCACTATGACAACTCTTAAAAAGATATTACATTATAATAAGCACCACCGACAGTACAGTCTAGATGGTTAGATAGTACCTGCAGTTACCACAAGTGAATATGAAGTGAATAATAGTTAGTTCCAAAGTAACAATTAGTTACGTAACAATGGGGCTAAAAACCTAAAGCACGCGATTTTTCAAGTTATGGGGCTTCTTGATGAGTTCAATGCACGGTTACTTCTTTCTGATACCGTTTAGGGAAATACCTACCAACCAAAGGAGTATGCCAGATGTCAAAGTACCTTAGGCTTCAATGCATCTGCCACATTTTGTTTTCTAATACAATCATTGGGATTTCCGCTTGACACAAATGATCGGCTGAGCACATCTTACACACGGTAGATAAGTGAACAATTTGAACAGTTACTACTAGTAGAAACCTCAGTCTGTCAAATACACGAGCACATAGACAAGAGCTTCAATTTTAAATCTAGTGTGTCGAATCAGCGACTGACCAATTCTCTTGAGGTCGTTGACGTTTGATCCATCTTCCGTGAGCGCTCCAAGAACTTCCAGATCCGGACTACAGGTGCGGAAAAATGAAGATACTGTTTTTGTAACGAAAACACATATTCGCTAAATCAAACTAATATGTTTCTGCCTGACAGTGCTAATTTATAACAGCACTAATCATCAGTTTATAAAAAAAAAAATTTCAAAACCGTGCACTTGGTTCCTTTAAGACTAAAAAAAGGAGCGTACCATCAGCTGATATAGTTGGTTTTTTTATTGTAAAATTGTCCTCAACTTGCATGCTTTAATATTTGTTATGAGGAATGAAAAGGCACAACTACCTTTTCAAAACATTTCAAAATTTGGCTAACAAATATTTTTGGCCCGAATACTGGATGGAAAAGCTTATTATTATTTGACTCTTGGGCAGCGAATTGTTTGCAAGTTGTATAAGGTACCTTATTATTTATATTTGCGGATTTAGAATATGGAAAACCTTCCTTTGTCAATTTTTTCACAAACTACTTCTACAATTACGACTTAAATTAGCATTTAGTGAATAATATTATTGAGCTTCGATCTCTTACTGACAGCAGGTATCATATCCACTCCACATTAATCTATTCAAATGTATTTATTGTTCAAGGGTGGTTATACAGGGTGATTCACAAGTCGTGACCAAAAATGAAACATCATACATCATACACAGGACCGCATTTTATTTATTTATTTATTTATTCATTTATTTAGCAACATCCAACAACCATAGCTAATTACAGGATGGATAAACATGAAAATATAAATAAATATATGTAGTGGATGTGTGTAGAGAAAGCTAAAACGCTGCAAAAAACCTTAAAACAGAACTGAGAGGAAAAAAAGCGTTGTAGCTTTACCTACCCAGCACAGCAGCAGCACTCAACAATCACACCGGGAAGCATTAACGAAAATAAGCATTAATGTCTCTCAAAGTCGCACAAAACAAAGATATATCTATAACGTTATTAACTGAATTATAATTACGGCACATTATATAGATAGGGGACTTAAATATGTCAGTCTTAGGCCTGGCTGAGTAAAAAGTTAAACTAGTTCGAGACGCTAATCTAGGAACTAAGAGGTTAAGTTGTTCTAAGATGACACTGGAGTCAATAATACCATGGATGACCTTGTGAAAGAACTTAAGCGAATTCTTTTTGCGTCTGCTCTCTAAATTATAGATTTTGTGTCCCATTATCAAATCACTATGAGGAAAGAAAATAGAAGGATATATCCCGTCAGCTTTGTATGAGAGGTATTTTAAA